TGTTGCTTGCCCTTTCTTGAGCCAGTCTCACAGATTCAGACACACTTAACTTCCCCAGTTACTGTATCAGTCCCTCTCATTTGAGGTCTTCCTCTCCTGATCTGTCCCTCCACCCTTCTGAGCATGATGTCCCCATGAGCCCAAAGTATGTGAGATAGAGCTTCAAAATCCTAGCCTCCAAGGAGAAACTTGCATATTCAAGACTCTTCTCCAGCATTACAACTCGAAGCCATTGATTGCCGTCTTTAGTCATTGTCCAGCTCTTTGATGCATAGCAAGTAATGACGAAGACTATGGCCTGGATCAGGTGCTCCTTAGTCTCTAGACTGACATAATTGCTTCTCAGTACTTTAGAGAGGTCTCTGATGACATATTTTCCCAGTACTGTTCATCTTTTGATTTCCTGACTGCTGGTACCAAGAGTGTTGCTTGTGAAGCTGAGCAAGCTGTAATTGTTAACAACCTCAGTCTCTTCTCCATCTGTCATGGTGCTGATATTTGGCCCAGTGGTGAGAATCTTTGTTTTCTTGATGTTTAAGATTAAATTCATATTGAAGAATACAGTCCTTGACCTTCTGCAGCAAGTGCTTCAGGTCCTCCTCAGTTTAAGCAAGAAAGGTTGCATCATAGGCATAACATAGGTTGTTGATGAGTCTTCTTCCAATTCTGATTCCATATTCCTCCTTATAAAGCCCAGCTTTCCAAATGATATGTTTCACATATAGATTGGAAAAGTATGGAGACAAGATGCATCCCTGATTCACTACTTTACTGATTTTAAACCATGCGGTGTTTCCTTGCTCTGTTCTTAGGACCGTTTCCTGGTCCAAGTATAGGTTTCTCATAAGCACAGTCAAGTATTTTGGGATTCCCATTTTCCTCAAGGTTAGCCACAATATATTGTGATCCGCACAATCAAATGCCTTTGCATAGTCAAAGAAACACAAATAGACATTCATGTGGTAATCTCTGCTTGCTGCCAAGATCCATCTGATGTCTCTAGTGCCATGACCTCTTCTAAACTCAGCTTGTATTTCTGGTAGTTCTGTGTTAATATACTGTTCCAGTCAATTCTGGATAATCTTCAACAGGATTTTGCTATCATGTAGTATTAGTGATGTTGTTCAATAATTTCCACACTCTTTCAGGTCACCGTTTTTTAGTCAATTGGCAGTCAGTTGTCATCCAGATTTCTTTTTTTTTTAAATACAAGTTTATTTATAAAATTTGAATATGGTGTTTTTGAGAACAGATTGTTCGATTTCCCTCAACACCCATGAAGTTATTCAACTCCATGATTATTTGCCCCCTCCCCCTGCACATCCTCCTCCCTCTGCTTCCACCCTCCCCCACCCCCTTTGGATCCTTATTCTCATTTTACAAAAATGGTTTTATACCATATTTGTCCTTGTGGGACTGACTTCATTCAGCATAATGCTCTTCAGTCCCTCCCAAGTTAGGCAATAATTTACAAAATCATTGCTCTTGCGTGCTGCATAGTATTCCATTGTGTGAATGTGCCATAATTTCTCAATCCACTCATTTGTGGTTGGACATTTGGGCTGTTTCCATTTTCTTGAAATGGTCAATAATGCTGCTATGAACATTGGTGCACAAATCTCAGTTTGTGCCTCAGTTCTTATTTTTTCAGGGTATATTCCAAGTAGTGGAATAACTGGGTCATATGGAATTTCTATGTTCAGCTTTTTGAGGAAACACCAAACTGCCTTCCAGATTAGTTGTACCATTTTACAATACCACGTACAAGAGTTATTTTCTGCCACATCCTCTCTAACATTTATAACTTGCCGCCCTATTAAACTTTGCCACTGTTACTGAAGTGAGATGGTACCTCATGGTTGTTCTCTTGGCACAAACTGCTGAGCACTTGCCAGGCAGCATCTGTTTGTTGGAATATGTCATTTGGTTTTTCTTCAATTCCTGGGCTTTATATTTTTCCAAGTCCTTCAGAGCAGCCTGAACTTTCTCCTTCATCGACATTGCCTTTTTTTTTTT